CAATCAGTCTGCCAGATAGTTGACTTCCAAATTTCTTGGCATAGATATGTGAATGTCTTGAGTGCTGCCTCACTTTCTTGAAAGATTTCAATTTTTAGTCCATCAATTCCTGGTGCTTTGCTCTTTGATATTTCCTTCAATGCACCTTGGACTTCTTCCTTCAGGATCATTGGCTCTTGGTCATATGCTACCTCTGAATGGTTGAACATCAACCATTTCCTTTTGGTACAGTGACTCTGCGTATTCCTTCCATCTTCTCTTGATGCTTTCTGCATCATTCAGTAATTTACCCAGAGAATCCTTCAATAATGAAAGCCAAGGCTTGAATTTTTTCTTCAGTTTCCCCATCTTGAGATATGCTAAGCATGTTCTTCCCTTTTGGTTTTCTGACTTCAGGTCTTTGTACATTTTGTTGTAATATTTGACTTTATCTTTTGAGCTGATCTTTGAAATTTTCTGTTCACCTCTTATACTTCCTCATTTCTTCCATTTGCTTTAGCATCTCTATACTGGAGAGCAAGTATCAGTGTTTCTTGTGACATCCATTTGGATCTTTGCCTTCTTTCTTGTCTTCTTAATGACTTTTTGCTTTCTTCAGGTATGATGTTCTTGATGTCATCCCACAACTCTTCTGGTCTTCGGTCTTTAGTGTTTAATGTATCACATCTGTTTTTCAGATGATCTTTAAATTCAGGTGGCATATATTCAAGGTCATATTTTGGCACTCATGGACTTGTTTTCATTTTTTTCAGCTTCAGTTTGACTTTTCATGAGCAATTGATGGTCTGTTCCACAATCTGCCCCTGGCCTTGTTTTGACTGATGATATGGAGCTTTTCATCGTCTCTTTCTACAGATGTAGTCAATTTGATTTCTGTGTACTCTATCTGGTGAGTTCCATGTGTATAATCATCTCTTATGCTGTCTAAAGAAGGTATTTGAAATGAACAAATCATTGATTTTGCAAAACTCCATCATGTGTTCTCCAGCACCATTTCTATCACCAAGGCCATGCATTCCAACTACTGATCCTCCATGTTTGTTCCCAACCCTTGCATTCCAATCACCAGTAATGATCAATACATCTTGATTGCATGTTTGATCAATTTCAGATTGACAAACTTGGTAGAATTCTGTTTCATCCTGGCTTTAGTGGTTGGTGCAGAAATTTGAATAATAGTATTATTAACTGGTCTTCCTTGTAGGCGCATGGATATTATCTTATCACAGACAGTATTGTACCTCATGAGTGATCTGGATATGTTCTTTTTGACAATGAATGCAACACCATTCCTCTTCAATTTGTCATTCCTGGCATAGTAAGCCATGTGGTTGTCAGATTCAAAATGGCCAATACCAGTCCATTTCAGCTCACTAATCCCTAAGACATCGATGTTTATACGTTCCATTTCATTTTTGACAATTTCCAATTTTCCTAGATTCATACTGCGTACATTCCATGTTCTGATTATTAATTGATGTTTACAGTTGTTTGCCTTCATTTTGAGTTTTTCCCTATCAGCAAGAAAGTCCCGAGGGCTTTACTATCAAGGGCTTTACTCCATTCATGTCATCACGGTCAACTCTACTTTGAGGAGGCAGCTCTTCCCCAGTAACATTTTGAGTGCCTTCCAACCTGAGGGGCTCATTTTCTGGCACTATATCTGACAGTGTTTCTCTGCTATTCATAAGGTTTTCAGTGACTAAATATTTGGAAGTAGTTCATCACTCCTTCCTAGTCTGTCTTCATCTGTAAGCTCATCTGAAATCTGTCCACCATGGTTGACCCTGCTGGTATTTAAAATACCCATGGCATAGCTTCCAGAAGCACAACTGACAGACGACTGGTGGCACAAGGCAGTTAGATTGGTTAAAAAAAAAAAAAAAAAAAAAAATTGTAGAAGAAGATTATCAGGGAGGGGAGAAGATTGAAAAGAATTGAATGAATAAAGGCATAGCCCAGAGAGGACTTCAGTAGTCACATGGAAGAGATGTTAAATTTGTATGCAACTTTGAGTGACCGAATTTGACATGCTCCATGGAAGGGCTAGGAAGCAGATGTTGAAGAAATAAGAGGATGAGTTTTCCAACCATTTAGAGCCATTGAAGACATAGTGGCTTTTCCTGTGATGTGGTAGGGGACTCATCGCTGGTCATGCTCACACAAATGGCAGTTGTTGGATGGATGTGGACATAGTGGGGGTGGGGGTGCTTTTGCACTGGGTGGTCTCATATTTTCTAATGTTTCTACCAACTCCAAGTGGTATGCTTTCCTGAATTTTAGGCCAGAAGTCATTCCTGAGTCTACCCAGTTGCATCTCAGCACCTTTCTCCCATCTTCTTTCCCAATGATGGGTTCCCAGTTTCTCTTTATTTTAGAAGTCTCAGCACTTAAAGGGTAGACAATTACACTAAGACCAAGACATTAAGACCATTCTGGTGTCTGTTTAATCCAGGGCTGGAAATAGCTTTAAAACATCTTCAGTCTCTAGCTCCCAACCCCATATTTTATTGGTCTTGCATATTGACCTAAGACCAAACTGAATTTCTGTACTATGGAACCTCTTTCTATTTCCCTACAACCTACCCTATCTGGCCTTTAAAAATACTCACTTCCTCCCATAAGCTTGGGCAGAGTAAGAAGGAAAGGACATGTGCATTGCTCTTTCAGGTGGCTTACTTTATCCATTTGGCTTCTTTGGTTTGAAGAATAGAGCTCGTGGTTTTTTTTTGTTTGTTTGTTTTTAGAACTGTTCTAATGGTTGTACTGAAGGTTTAAAACCCAACCACTCATGATTTTTCCTTCTGTGATTGTTGTCAGCTGCACTAGAGTTGATGGTCTACTACGGTGGCCCACACACCACAAGTAGAGCATGAGATGCTACCTGGTCCTGCACCATCCCCATGACTGGTTGAGGTTTGGACAGCTGTGATCTATGGAGTTTTTATTAGCTGATTCTTGGAAGGAGACCATCATACCTTTCTTCCTTGTCCACCTGAGTCTGGAGACTTTGCTAAAACCTTTTCAGCATCATCACAATACTCTATCAGCAGAGGGATGATGGTTGTACATGAGGTGTGTTGGCTGAGAATGGGTCCTGAGTCTCCCCCGTGAAGGTGAGACTTCTACCACTAAATCAAGTTAAATCTAGTCTTCAAAGATTCATTGGTGCACAAAACAGAAGCAAGCATGAAAAAGCATCAAATGATATTGCCCTGCACAGATGTTGGGGAGTGTGTGTTCATATCCAGTTTGAAAGACTGAATGTAAGGAGATATTTCCACAAAAAGGTGTGGAACCTGCGCAGAGTGGAGAGAACCATTTCTCTGCAATCTGACCGAAGAGCATGGGTGAGGAGGCTGATCTGCTTTGTGTTTCGTGCTGGACTGTGCAAAACAGTGTACACATGGAGGACTAATTGCCTCATTTATTCTTCCATTAAAGCCAGAGGAACATCAGAGCTTATTCAGCTCAGGAAGGGAAATTACATGTTGGAGAGACAATAGCCACATTAAAGGCATGACAATGCAATTCTGGTTCTGCTCGTCACACGGTTTATTTATCCAGTAAAGACAGAACTCAAAGGTGTCACAAAATCTAAGAGAATGCCAAGGTCACATCTTCCATTTTCCTCAGTCTACTTTAAACCCACAGATTAAATACAGGGGCAAAAGGATGAGAGGATCATTTTGCTGGAGATTAAGACTTCTTATTTGAGAAAGGAAATTCCTTTGAAGGTTAATATCTACCCAGGGGCTTCTTATCTGAGGATGGCTTCCTTTTGTCTTTATAAAAGCATGGCAGCATTATGGGAACTGCTGCCCTTGGATACGTATGGGTACATATCGTGGCTAGCTGCTGGCTCAGTAGCTTTCTAAGAGTCTGCCAGCAGTAGGATTCTGAAAGAATCTACCCTAGATAGACAGCATCCTTGGGGGAGAGATACAATGACATGTAGCAAAAAGGCATCTCAGATGTTACAGCAAGGAGGGGGTCCTCAGACATCAAAGCCCAGAATCTCATTTTACTGATGGGGAAACTGAGGCTCTGGGATGCCATTAAATGGTTTCCCCAAGGTCGCACAGCTAATTAGTAATAGGAACTTAGATTTCCTTTAGTGCTTCTGAACACTGCATAAATGGATACTCATAATGTTAATTTTTGTTTCTCGGTTTTAAGAATCTAGAGCTGGTAATTTTAGCTTATAAAATGAAAAATCCCAATAAAGCTGAAGACAACCAGAAGTTTTGTGGAGAATGCTAATAATAAATCTGTAATGTGAGGAACCTCATATCAAGATAGAGTTAAAAGACTAAAATGTTTGGGTTAAAATCAGGGAACTCCACTTTTCTATGTAACACATAAGCTACAATCTCTTACACATAGTGAGACAGGAATGGAAGACAACACCCAGCAGGAACAATAGAAAAACCAATCTTAAAAAGTAAAAAGAGGCCACATTCACCATTAGTAAGGATGATCTAAATAGTTGAGCACTTTCAAATAACATGGAACAATGACACAAAGTCATGATAGGTGGAAGGGACATTCTAAAGGGGCTCCTGGCAGGCACATGGGAGCACCTGTTCGAAGCAGTTGGATGTCTCTATGGCTAGACACATGACATCAACCTTTACCCTCTTCACAAAGGCCCTGAACTGAGTGAGGCTGAGCTCGCTCACTGTGCACCCACAACTGAACACAGCTCTGGAGCAAGTGAACACCAAATCCTGTCCTCTCAAACCAGCTTTTCTCCTGTTTCACCATCTGCATGAATGACAGCGGGGAAGAGTGGGGTGGAAATTGGTTCAGGTTGCCGATACAGGCTGGACATTTTGAACCCTGGTCAAAGTGACTGGAATCTTGGTTTCCCCTGGGCCCGGAGCTTTTGTAATGGGCTGGGAGTGGGCCTTGATGTCTGCTATGCGTTCCTTAAACTTTTGCTGCAGGAACTTTTCTTCTTTGGAGTAGCTTTTGGCGAACACCGACATGAGTAGGCACCCTGCCATGGACGTGCCTCCGATGCAGAAGAGTACGGCTCCTGCCAGCTTGCAGGCGTCCAGGGCACTGTTAAATTGGACAGCATGTGTGTCGACCACCACAAAGTCGGCTTCACCAAAGGCTTCGATTTTGGGGGGCACCAGGAAACCCACTGCTAGAACAGTTAATCCAAGAATCACGAAGACTGTGCCTGAGATGAGTCCGACCTGGTGAAAGATCAAGAGAAGGAAAACATAATAAGCAAGGGCTACCAGCTCTCCTCTGAACACTCAATGGCAAGGCTTGTTTTAAAAGAGAAGTGAATACTCCTGGTCACTTCAAATTGACAGGAACAATAGACTTTATTTTCTAGTTAAGAAAAGAAAGCGAAAGGAAAGCCTTTCTGATTTTAATGCCAATCAGAAACCACAGCCCTGAGTCTTGATTTTTCCTTTGAGTTTTCTGTGTGTACAGTTCTTTACAGCTGGAAGCCCCCTCCTCCCCTTTTGCTTGTTCTTCCGACTCACAGCAACCCTGCATCGGGTTTCTGATGCTGTAAATTTTTATGGGACCAGAAAGTCTCACATTTCTCCCAAGGATTTAAACTGCTGCCCGTGCTGTTAGCAGTCCATCGCATAACCCACTATGTCACCAGTTCTTCCCGTTGGCTTACATTTTTAACTGGAGAAGGAGAAAACCAGTGCTGATATCCTGGAACCAGCCTGACTCTGATTACTAGGCCTCAGTGTTGGTAGAAGCAGGCCTGATGCTCATAGCTAGCCCCTGGGGTTCTCCTCTTGGACCTAAACAATCTCTCAGAACATCAACGTTGGGCAAGTCATTCTGTGACCATGATGAAGTGAGACAAAACAAGATGACTTTGTAATTTTGTCTGAGTGCAGACAGAATCAAGGTCATGGTGCAAATCACACGATACCAAACAGCCCCCTCTCTTCATACAAGTTACTGCTTCATTGTTCCTATTGTTTTGTCATTGATCAGTTCTAACTCATGGTGACCTATGTACAACAGAATGAAACACTGCCCAATCCTGCAGCATCTCTGTGATCACTGATATATACAGATGGGTCTATTGTTGAAGCCATTGTGTGTTTTTGAGTGCCTTCCAATCTAGGGGCTCATCTCCCAGCACTATACTGGACATTTGATCTGTTGTGAGCCCAAGGATTTTCATAGGCTATTTTGGGAAAGTAATTCACCAGATTTTCCTAGTCTGTTAATCTAGAAGCTCTGCTGAAACCTGTCCATTGTGGGTGATCCTGCTGGAATTTGAAATACCAACATCATAGAAATATGTAAGCCACCACAGTATGAAAAACTGGCAGACAGGTGGAGGAATTACAACTTTCATCTTCCACTAGTCTACCCTTCCTATGTTGTCGTTGTTAAGTACTGTCAAGTTGGTTCTGACTCATAGTGACCCTGTATAGCATTTCCAAGGAGCTGCTAGTGAGTTTGAACTGCCAACCTTGTGGTTCGAGTGACCTTGTGATCCAGTGCTTTATCCCACAGTGCCACACTATCCTCCCTATAGATGTGATTTACTGAGTTATCTAATCATATAATTGTCCCCAATTCCAACAGCCCTAACCTAAAGTAAATTCCCACTTCCTTTGACCATTCCCCAAATCACCCAAGCAAAGCCTACCTCCTATAAGTTCTTCTTCACACCTTCTTGCTGAAATGTCTAATACCTATTGTATGGTTATTCCTTATTGAATCGAGTAATAAAACCAACTCCAGAAGATATGTTCCTGGTGGTTTGGGCTAGAAAACATTGATAACCTTTAGAACTACCCACTTTCCTTCTCCAAATAGAGAGGGAAGGAACCGCCATTGCTAGTTTACAGATAAGGAAATGTAGCCTCCTGTAGGGGGGGTCATCTGCCCAAGGAAGGGAATGCAAGAAAGTCTCAGCTTTAGGGCTAGGAACCCCAGATCTGACCCTACTCCTGGTTCTTTCTCTTCTAACATGTAGTTATTTCAGTTCTGCTTGTACAGATGCTGTGAAGTGTTAATAGTAACAGAATGAGCAGCTGCATCTCTAAGGGTGAATGAAGGAAGAAGTACAGATTGTGCTGGGCGACACTGTCGGAGAGGGTGACACCAAACTAGTTGTCTATGATTTTTGAGCAGCATTTCAGCAGAAATCGATTATTTTTTAATATAAAAAATAGCTCTGTAGACTGACTGTGAGGGTTGGAAATGTAAAGGTAGAGGTTTTGTAACAAAAGGAGGGGAGTTGTTGATTTTGCAGTCCAGGAGCGGAGGTCCTTGGGACCATCAAGGGAGAAGAGCGGAGTGTGGGACCCTATCCAGAGAAGCAGTGATGCCAGAGATGGAGGCAGAGACGATGACATGGAGAGAGGGAGCGGCTGGGGACTCAGGGAGGGAGAGGGTCTGTGTGCTGATGGCGGGCGGGGTGTACACTTTGGTTGTTTAATGATGCATGGAGGTGATTGTAATCACTTCAATGAAACGAAATATGATAGGATGAATGTAAAGCTAATGTTCTCCCATGTAAACTATCATTTAATTCACAATAAAACTTAAAAAAAAAAAAAAAGCCCTGTAGTTAGTTAATGATAACAAGGAAAATATTTTTCGTAAGACCACCTTAAGGTCAGCAGTTCGAAACTACCAGCTGCTCCACGGGAGAAAGATGAGGCTTTCTACTCCCGTAAAGATTTACACCCTCGGAAACCCTGTACAGGGTCGCTATGGGTCGGAACCGACTCGACGGCACTTAACAACAACAACAACAAGACCAGCTTACATGTATCAATATTCCTACTAGGCTAAAACTCAAGTTTAATTTACTTTTTAAACTCATGTGCTCTGGTCAGAGTTGTCAATAGTATCCAATTACAGTGATGTTTCCTATCATGAGGTTTTTGTCTAGACCCACTACAAGCATGCATTGTTATAGTGTATTTATAGTCTCTGGTTTTGTCAAATTTTCTTGTATTTTAGTTACAACATTGTGATAATTAGTATTTGTGAACCTATGTCAATAATTCTTTTGAGAATGAGGTAGTAATTAACGGAAAATAAGAAATACAAGCTTTCCGCTCCATTACTAATAATGTAACTAGTAATGTTACGATTTAGTGTAGCAAGATTTTACAGAATAATTTTGTCATTAATATTCATATAAACTAAGAACCATTACATTTAAGCCATTCACAGCTGTATGAGAAGGTTTTCAAAAGTTCATGGGAAAACGGAATTGAACAATAGTGGAATTTTCCCATGCACTTTTTGAAGTTCACGGACTCTTGGTGTGGCACTTTAGAATCAGCATTGGACTGTGAACCACAAAGTCGGCAGTTCAAACTCACCAGCCGCTCCTCAGAAACCCTATACAGGGTCACTATAAGTCAGAACCGACTTGACCGCACTTAACAACAACAACGTATTTGTCACATGTTACTCTATGATTAAAATTGACAGTAAACATTACCAAGGATTCGGTATGGTATGAAATGGGAGGAGGCCCAGGAAGGGATAGGTTAATACCATGGGCCACCACCCTAGAGGCAGAGATTGAAGTCAAATTGTATAAAGTCCAGTTCTAGTAAAATGTAACATTCGGAAGATAGAAGGCAACATACCACTCTGGTTTAAGGCCTCAGGGTTTGGCGTTAAGGTCCAGGTTTTGAACCCAACATTGTCACCTATAACTTGAATGATTTAACAAAAATTCCTTAAACAATCTCATTATTACTTTCCTTGACTGTAAAACAACAAAGATAACAGTAGCTTCCTCACAGAATTGTAAGGACTAAATGAGAACATGCATGAAAATATTTAGTCCTGTACCTGGCTTAGTAATAAATAATAATCAATAGCTGATTGAACTTCTGGTGTGGTGCTGTAGGATCAGCACTGGACTGCAAACCACAAACCAACTGCTCCTCAGAAACCCTATACAGGGTCATTGTTTGTTTGAACCGACACGATGGCATCTAACAACGACATTATTTGGAAATGTTGTTGCTGTTAAGTGCTGTTGAGTTGATTCCAACTCATAGCGACCCTGTGTAGGTTCTTGATAAGCAACTGGTGGGTATGAATCACCATCCTGTGCTTACCCTACTGCACCACACCAGGAAATACACCTCATAAAATTGTTGCCAGATTGGCAAAAATATTACAAGAAATTGTTTAGCACTTGGAATCAAGAACAGTTAATACAGCTATTTAGTGTTGAACACTTACAAAGTACATTTCTTTAATTTATTAAACACAATGATAAAAAATGGTTTGAATAATGGAAAGAAAACATACTCATAAATATACCACCCTAACCAAAGGACAAAAAGGAGCACCTTTTATGACCTACCACCACTCACCTGTCACTTTGTTCTACTGTGGTGGCTTGTATATTGCTAGAAATGATACCATTTTAAATACCATCACCTATGATGGACAGATTTCAGCTGAGCTTCCAGACTAAGACAGAATAGGAAGAAGGATAGATGGACTACTTCGGAATGTTGTAAATCGCATTAGGACATTGTGAGATAGCACAAGAATATACACTATTGAAACATTATGAATAAAGATAGATTGGTACAATGACAGCAGCAACGGGTGGGCTCAAAATAACAATGATTCTGAGGATAGCGCAGGACCGGGCAGTGTTTCATTCTGTTGTGTATAAGATCGCTATGAGTCAGAACCAACTCCATGGCACCTAAAACAACATTAGGACCTAGGCAAAGGACTAGTTTCTTTCCATGTATTTTCCACTTAATCCTCACAAGTATCTTATAGTAGGTAAATATTTTTGTTTCCATTTCACCTGTGAAACCTGTAGTTTACAGGGTCAAAGAAACATTGTCGATAGTCCCATAGTTAGTAAGTGACACAAGGGGCTTCAACACAATTCTGGGTGATTTCGAAAACCCTTCTTTCTCACTTCTCATTCTACCCATAAGACTTCACTAATTATGGTCTTGTGTAGTACCTTCTATTATTTTTCATTTGAATTTTTAGCAGCTTTAGCCATCAAGCATAAGCAAGTTTCCTTTTTAAAACATTGTAAAGAAAACATAAAACAAAAGAGTCAGCAAGTTACCTTCTGGCAGAATATAGAAGCCCTTTTACATCAGTTTTAAGTCCTAGTTTTCCAAGGACAAAGTTCAGAAGGGTTAGGAAAGGAGGAGGAATAGAAACAGGGAGGATGAAGGGTTAAGTGATA